GGTGTCATGGAACGCGGAAAACGTCGTGAGTGTCTGCCGCGAGCGATGCGGAGGCCAGGGGTACCTGTCGCGAATCGGTTTGGAGAAATTTTGGGGTTTTCCCACGCGGCGGTGAAGATAAATCGAAAACCTCTTAACATTGATAAGTTTTGCCTCCATAATTTCTCACGAGGTCAATATTGTAAGAGGTTTTGTTTTGTCCAATACAATTCGAGAAACCATGTTATTGGATAAAACGTTTTGGCGGATCACTGGTCAGTTGGCGGATCACTGATTGGTCACGTTTTCTCGAAAGGCAAACCAAGACTTTGTTGAGGTAGCCCATGATGGCAATACTCGCGCGACCCACTCAACGTCGGCTGGGGACAAGTGAGCCTTGAGGGCCGCCACTTGGTCCTTTGTCAGTGTGCTTGGAACACGCCCGAGTGTAAATAGAATAATTTGACCAGCAAGTTTGAACGGCGAAGGATATTTCAATGGCTCCAGGACGACGGTTACTTTACCGTTGAGGCGGTTATGTTTTTCGGGTGCAAGAGGGTGAAGCGTTGAGGACTTGTCAATTTCCACAGTAGCGTTATCAAATACTACGTAGTACTTCGAACTATTGTGTGCTCTACTCACCTGCGGTTAGTTGTATTGTCCGTCTCAAGCAAATTTGTACTGTTCAGTCCAAAAGTGAAACCGTTTTTGAGTGACCTTTGTAATATATCTTGCATTTACTACATTCAATCTGCAACAGTTTTTTTAGAAAACGTATTGATTGGCTGAACCATGCAGAAATCTGGTAAAGGGGGGGTTTAGAATGGATTTTGATTGGCTAGTTTATTCTCAAATCTATTTGCCAAGTCTATTCGATTCTAGTGGCGACTCCGATTTTGAAACGAATGAACAATATGAACCGCCCTACAATCGTCAGACCTGCGGATATGATGGAATAAGTGTAAGGGGTATCTTTTGTGAATATTCATCCATTTTAGCCAATCATTTTTCAATATTTATTCTTTTTATCCAATCAAACTGCTTTACTCGATTTCATTGTGATTTCAACAATCCCCCGCGAAAAGCGCAATACTAGAGTGTGATGTTTGGTTGGGGTTAGAAATGTGGTATCCTTTGTCGCCCTCTTCATTATGGGCGTTCGTGCTAGCTTCGTGTATATGGAACGCACACAAATTGACATGGCATGCATGTCGTGTACACCTCAATGACCTCTCAACGTTGATTTACAGTAGTGGCGAGTACCCAATGATGACAGAAGCTAACAGTCACATTTAAACAATGGCAATTTTCAAACATTACACGTTCCTATGACTCAATTATTGGGGACAATAAAATGGGAACTTATCGTTAGCAACCCCACCGGAACCCAATACCACGTTATTAGCAGAAGTCCTTTTGTCATGATATTCTTTGTGTTAGAACATGTATTGTCACCTGCAATGTCCCCATTTACGGTCCCCTATAAGCTCCTGCCCCATGGACACTCTTCGATGATTGGATATCTCGTTGAACTAATTGTATCGTTTGGATGGTTGTTAGGCCGACAACGAACTGGACCGCCTCTCAAACGGGGTGACTTGGGGGGCTGATTCGACGTGTGGACTGCTCGCTGCTTCCCCCGGTGCTACTACTACGACGGCCTCAGCTTTGTACTTTGCCTGGACGTGCTTGACATACCACGAATTCCACCCCCCCAATGCTGTGAACGTGACGGCCATGATCACAGGACTGACATACGCCATCACATGCACTTCCAGCACGTAGATGAGGACGATGCGCACCGCCGCTTCGGCCAGCAGCCCCCCGCCCCACACCCAGCACATGGTGGTGGTCACCTGTTTCACTGCAGGGTATGCGTACATGGCATCGAGGCGCGCCTTTGCTTCGGGTCCGTTGAACTGGCGGTTGTAGTACCAAATGAGATTCTCGTTGGACAAGCACATGGAGCCCAGAAACGTCAGGCCGAATCCGACAGTCAGGAATGAATCCTTGACAAGCAACAGCCGCGCGTCCGACGTGGCCGCGGCGACGCTTGCCGACACGCAAATGGACGCGACGACCGCGCACGGCACCACGTCCAGGTGGCGGTCGCGGAGAACGTGAACGATGGCTTCCAGCGCCGGCGGAACCCCCGACAGCAGCAGCGCCCACACTTCGGCCATGTACTTGGACACGACCGCGAAGAGCACGATCGGCAGCACGATGTTGATCAACACCATGAGAAAGATTGCGCGACGGAGCTGCGATGTCCGTGCTTTCGCATCAGCGGCGGCGGCATCGGTGGTATCACCTGTCGTGATGTTGTTTGCAGTCATGAATTTGAAATGACCACTTTGCGCGACGGTTCCCGCGTGCTGATTGGCGAATTCATGATGACTACTGGGATGACTACAGAGTACTACTAATAGTACTATTACAGTACACTACTACTGGTACTTCGAAGTAGTACTTCAGTACTGGTAGTACACTTGGCCCAAAGTATTGTACAGTACTTGAAGACTGGACACATACTACTGAGTCTCAACGTACTCGAAGTAATTATAAGACTGGGCTATTAGTATTTTGACCAAACCGTTTCACGGCGGTTTCAAACGGGATCCACGAAACGGCGTCGTTCTGCATCGCGTGCCAACTTGAAGGAACTCACTCGCTGGCTGCTGCACAGTACTACTACCACATAACTGAATCATGTCTTTCGTACCGCCCAACAAGGTATACGCCCAGTCGTCCATGATGGCATCTATAGCCAGCTGCTATCTTTCCCACCAATCTCCATTTGGTAGCTGCGATCGACGAGTTCCACAACCTCAGCCACAGGTCGAGCTGTCACTCCCGTATCGACATCCCGTCGTTCCAGTACGTTGCCAATTTCATGGCTCTGCAAAGCCCTGACCCCATCTCGAAGCAGCAACCACGTCTCCTCCGCCATCGGCCTCTTTGAAGCTCAAGCCAAAGACCCCCGATCCCCGCGTACTGCGCGCCCTGCACCAACCCAACGACACGATGGACATGTACCAGCTGGGTCCTGTGATCGGCCACGGGCGCTTTGGCAAGGTGTTGAATGAACGATTCCCGATAATGATTGAAGGCTTGCTTCGTAGGTGCGCCGAGCCACCCATCGACTGACAGGCCAAGTGGTGGCTATAAAAGTCTACAACAAGGCCCAGCTTAGTCTCGACACGGACCAAATTCCCCTCATTCGAAAAGAGGTAAATATATTGATTGGTGTGTGGTCCTATACTGAATCCCATATCATACATACTATATATATGTCGTCCTCGGCGTGTAGGTGGATATTATGAAAGAAGTCGACCACCCAAACGTCGTGCGGTTGTATGAAATCCTCGAAACCGCCGAGTACATTTTGATAGCCATGGAGCTGTGCGAAGGGTAAACCCTGCTTGAGTATTAATTGGCATGAGCGTGTATTGTGAATTCGCTATAAACTTCCAAAATTCGCGTGGTTTGTCTAATCCATATTGAATCACGCTGCAGATCTGATTGGTTGAATATACTACTTGTCGTTTCTGTAAGATCCAATCAAATCTACTCAAAATTGGATTAGCCATAGCGTATCGATTCGGCGGGGTCTGGAAAGTTGTACCGAATCCACAATATTTAGCATAGGTTTTTCTAGGATATTATTTATTTTTTAATAACGTATTAGTATTGTTTGCGTAGGGAAGACTTGGGCAAGTACATTCGTAGACGAACGCGGGTGCAAGAAGCCACCGCGCGAGCCATATTCAGCCAACTGGTCGATGCGATTTCGTATCTGCATCGTCAAAATATCATTCACCGCGACATCAAAGTTCGTCCACCTTTATTTTTTCAATATATATATATATCTTTGCCAAAATGGTGGAATTATTCAGCATGGGATAATAATTAATGGTATGATTCTATTAGCCAGAAAATATATTTGTACACGACCACACGAACAACCCACCCACAGTCAAGATCGTGGACTTTGGGCTTGGCTCTCGGGACTTGGACCATTCCAAGAAATTGTCGGCATTTTGCGGCACGCCAGCGTTTATGGTACAGCAACTATCTCAGCAACGGAGCAATTTACACTAAAAATTGACCAGCAACGAATTAAAATTCGTCATCTTTTCAGTACTACGTAGTATACGATTGGGTTGATTAATCACAGGTGTTTTATATTATTATTAGGCGCCCGAAATCATCTTTCAAGAAACCTACGATGGCAAGTACGACCAACTAATAAAAACGAATATTATTAATATATATATGGAAAATATATTTTCAAATGTCGCGTATGTTTGATATATTAGACCTGTGGATGCATGGAGTTTGGGGGTCGTGCTGTACTTGATGACGGTGGGAAGAACCCCGTTTGACGGCAAAACCACCGACGCATTGTACAAGAAAGTGCTCGGCGGAGCGTTCGACATCCCATCGACCGTGTCGCCCGAGCTACGCGATCTCATGGGCGCTATCTTGGTCGTGGATGCAAACGATGTACGTGACATTTCTCGATGCGGATGTGTCTAAGGCGCTTGTAGCGCATGCGGGTAGAGCATATTCGACATCACACGTGGCTGGGTATGGAGAACCAACACGTATTGTCATCTGAGATCTCGTCGTCGCTGTTCGTGGCCAACGCCGCTCTGCACAGCGAGATCCTTGCCGAGGTACGACATATATTGGGAGGGACATGCGTGTTGACGTGATGAATGTCCTAGATGGACGGATACGGATTGAACCGCATGCAGTTGCATGACGACTTGGCGTCCAAAACGTACAACGCGGCCACGACATGGTATCGCTTGTTGCACCTTCGCCACCTCAAGTCCACGAAAGCAGGTACTTACCCATAACTCACTCTGAACCTGCATGTACCCTTTCCTGCGTGTACACTTACATGGGGTTCCTCTAGCCACGCGCTCCTTCGCCGAAGCAGACCCTTCAACTGCCCTCAGCTCCGTGGACTTCACCCGCTTCCTTCAAGATCGCATTGCCAAAGCCAAAACGCTTGGTTAAGGTATTTCGAATCCTATTTAGGGATATAGCAAGTAATTGAAGCCCTAGACAGAGATTTATCCGTATCATTCGGATAATTTGTTTGAAATTTGAATGAGCAAGCGGGAAGGCGACGCTGAAGTTGGGGCCGCCGCCGCCGTGGACCAGCAGCCCAAGAAGAAGTGAGTATCGGAGTATATATGCATGAAGATGGTGATGTGTTCATGTAGATCTCGTTCGGCCATCGCGACTGCTCCAGGAACCTCGAGGATTCCTGTGCTGCCTAGCAGTACTAGCACGAATAAGGCAGACATGGCATCCTCGTCATCAACGACCCCAGCGACAACAGCATCTACGACACAGTATGCATTTGGGGCGCGACTAGTGAAGGAGTCGAAGGTTGCAGGATCATTGAAAGAGGGCAAGTCCAAGGAGATCAGGAAAGAGGTGGTGTTGAAAAGGTATCGACCATGATTCGTGTAGCGATGAACCTAGGGCCAGTGTCGTTAGGTCGTCCAACGCTATTACATCCGCCCCAAAGGACGACGCCCGAGATGCCGTGAACGAAAAGCACGCAGCGCTGCTCAAACAAAGCAACGACTTCTTGGAAATGGCCGAAAACTTCAAGCTCAAGGCCGAGATCGAGCTCTTGCAGTCCAAGCTAGGCCAGCTCGAAGGTATAATCATCTTTTTTCAGGAAAAGGATCAAATTACATCCAAAATTCGCATGTTTTCAGTAAAATGTTCGTCAGTATATTGTGAATTCGCTATAAACTTGCAAAATTTGCCTGGTTTGTCGAATCAATATTAAATCACGCTGGAGTTCTGATTGGTTGAATATGCTTGTCCATTCTGCAAGAACCAATCAAATACTCTCAAAAATGGATTAGCCAATAGCGTCGATTCGACGGGGTCTGGAAATTCGTATCGAATCCACAATATTTGAATAAACTGATACTACGTCTATTTTCGAATAATTCGCTTTTTTCAGTAACATGTTTGGTCAGATTTTGAAATATTCGTGAATATATATTTGATAATATGTCCATTGTCCATATCTAGAACGAGACAGGAAACAGACTGCCCGCAATAAAATGCTGTCGGGGGTGACGAAAAGCCAGCAAGAACAGATCAAAGAACTGCAGGAACAAGTGAAGATGTGGACTGACCAATCACAACAAGCCACGACCAAGCTGAAAGAGTATTTGGTGGCCCAAGACAAGGTACGAAGTGCGTATTCGCATACTATTTCTATCATGATATACTATTGTCCTTTCAACCAAAAAGTATCGATATTATCCTTTTGCCCCAAAATTTGGCAGACTTTCGTGCTGAATCGCCAAATCTATTTGTTTATATCTATTTGTTGATTGTTTATACTGAAATTTTGTATATAGATAGTGTTGTCCTGTGGTGATTGGATTCACACGAATTTAGGTCTCACACTAAATTAAGATGTTTTATGATCGTTTCGTGCAATCTGATTGGCTCAATACTGCTGCCGATACCGGTCGATTGGTTGTACTGATGTTTGTATGGAATTGTGTTGACGTGATTCACACTATTTGAAGCCATTCACACACTATTCGCTTGGTACTCGAGTTTGATTGGGCACTTGAATGTGTGTGGTGGGTTTTGATTGGTCGGTCGATTCTCTGTCCATTTGGTTGCATCTCTCCTTCGATTGACGTCGACATTCGAATTGTTAGTTACTGTATACATACATGTAAACATTGAACAAATGATCGTGGGATGTTTACTATTTTAAGTATAGAAGGACAAAGCTGCAAAAGTAGCTGAAGTAACTGATGCCCCCAAAAGCACCAATCAACATGGATGTGTCCATTGCAATGGTCTTGTCAAGCAAGAAGACGGCGGGACCTCGCTGCGACCAGCCATGCAAAAACGACTGGAAGCCGTGACAGTTGGCCTCCAGGTGGCCAAAGATTCAGAGTACGTCCCCTTGTTAGTTAGTTACTACGTAGTAGTTGTTGATTCTAGTTGGGGATATTGAGATGGGGTATGTATGATATGTGATAGGGCCGTGCTGCGCCTCGTGTTGCAGCAAATGTGTGAAGAAGATGATACCAAGATACAAGTGTAGTAGACAAACACTATACGATAGCAGATCGAGATAACTATATTTAACGTTAACGTTACGGGAAAAGGGATTGATCATCTGACTTTGCGTTGGTTAGTAGTATGTAGTAGTAGTAAGTAGTAATACATGCCAAATAACATGTATAATTGCACCAGTTTTGCAGTTAGGCAGATGGACACTTGAAGGTTGGGGAATATTTAGTTGAACTGGGCACATTGAAGTTTCACCATGTGTTGACGTTTGAACAGTACATGCAGAAGCACATTTTCGACAATTACAGTAGACTTGAATACAGTAGGTATTCAACGTAGTTACAACTAGGACACGTGGCAGTAGTTTATAGCACCATCACCATATCATTGCTGCAAGAAGGTGGGCCACCAATGCTACTATGACGAAGCCCCCGCTTAGCATCGGGACAGGCGGCGAGTGCGATGCCATCATGTCCTCCTTGATCCTACAGGGTTTCAAGATGAGGTCTGATAGAAGGATGGCATATAGCGCACAAGTTTTGGGTATAATTGGTTTTGTCATTGGACGGAAACTGACGACGAAGGAGGGTGGTAGCATTGACGGGGCCTTCTGTCGTAAACTTGTTGGCAGTCGAAGTATTGAGTGCGACTTGGTTGGAGCACGTACCCCCAGGAAAGCTGGATGGTTTGCACGTCGTCGTCGTAGTAGTAGTTGGCACAGCCAAAGGCGGCAACGTCGTGGTGACAGTTGGTCGAACGGTTGTGCGGGGGGGTTGAGGGGTGGGGGGCTGGGGAGTCGGAGGATTGTTTGATGTTATGGGTGTTGTGGTTGGAGTGAGCCACGCAGTGGTGTCGCATCGGATGTTGGCGTTGACGACGCGCCCTGACGGATCCACAGAGCACTGGAGGTCGTTGAGCGTTTTGAATAGTGTGACGCACGGCCCCTTGGTGCACAGGGCCTGGACATCGGTCCGGACAAAGTCCCACAGGGATTTCGAAAACGGGCGCCCCACAGCGACCCCACAGGGCCAGACTTTGGGCAGCAGTTTGGCGGTGTCCCACGAGTTGCACGGGGGGAGGGCTGTAGCAACCCCAAAAAATCCAACGAAAGCCAGCGGGGCTGCCATCATCCTCATGCTTCCAGTCGACGAGATCAAAATGAATCGACTTGTAAAGTGTGAATACAATAATGGGTCCATCGGTCGTGCGCTTTTTACGCGCTGGTATTTTCGTATGTGGTGATATGTTTGTTCAAGTTCTCCAAATCGCAAATTGACATATTCTCGTGATAGTACGGTATACTGTATGATGTCTTTCATATGGGACTTTGGGGGTCGATGGGGGGTCGTCCTGTTGAGGCCACCCGTGTGGTTATTGTGAGATCCAGTGGCATTATGAGTGAAATTGCTGGGTTGGTCCAAACGGTGGTCCACACTGAAAGGATCAAAATATGTCGACTGATTGCGGGGCAGGTCGTTGAATGTGAAATACCCAATGGTTGTGCGGTTGTCGGGGTGATTGCAGCCAGAATTCAGTTCCCACTGAACAATTGGACTGTTCCTGACTCTCTTGATGGTACTGATATAACGTTATACTAGCGACCACCCAACGAGTCATCATTCTACCAGGTATGGCGCGACCTGCTCTAGAACATTGACGTGGATCATGGCGAATTGACAGTGAATGAAAACAACTCGTACTACTCGTAGTTACTAGAGTAGTGGTTCATTTTGCAGTTGGTTTAACATCAAACTCACTACGACTAGTATTCATAACAACATGGGGAGGGAGCCGCACGGTGGGTAACAGCTATTCCTCTGAATTGTTCAGAATTGGAGGAGATAACGACGTGGTTTGTAGCCATCAATCACACAACACAGTACAGAAAGTAGGCCTTTCAATAACAAGCCTGATATTCACAAGGTTTGTAACTGCGGGACGATGGGCGTATGTTATAACGTTATTTCCATCGCGTTCACCACTCACAAACTAAAACCAACCTTCCCATAGTGCGCGACATTATTGCAGCTTGGGGTTGACACGACGCGAAGGTTATGGGCTGGTGGTGCTTGGATGTTTGGCGTGATGAGGCTTGCCTGCGTTGGCATCGAAGCGATTACCAGAGTAGTGGCGGTGACTGCCATTGCGGCGGGGGAGATCGACGGGGTGATCAACCACGGCGTTGCCAGAAGGGGGCTTCGAGTGGTTGCGGTGGTGCTCAGACGCGGAAATGGCCGGAAATTTCGTACGGTGACCATTGTGGAGCGTACCGTTGCGAGGGTAGGTGTGGCGAGGGCGGCTAACTGGGCTGTGCGTGCCGTTGATGTCGTATGGTTGACGTGGGGGGTGCTGGGTGGACGAGCCTGCGTCCACGGTGCAAATGGCGACAGCGACAAGGAGGGCTGTGACTTTCATCGAGCAAATTCTGGAATGAAGTGGACTGCGGCGGCATACGTGTATATGGCGCAGAAACCGAAACGGCGCCGTGTAAAGCGGTGGCGACCTTCGATCGAAACGGTGGTGTAAAATTCGTTCAATGTATCAACGATATATATATTTGTGGGAGCACAATTCTATTAACTTATACTGTAAGTACTTAAATAGTCGAGCATTATGGAGCTTGTTCTAATATTAGATAGAGCATCCCCACCGGCTGATGTAGAAATGTAAAAATCTTCAGGTCTGAAAAATTTACATTTTTCAGACCCACACCGGTTGCCAATAAATTTTACATCATGATGTAAACGCTCCATAAACACAGATTTCTCAACAGATCTGTTGGGTCGATTACAGTTCTATGCGATTGAGGTCCCAATGGGCTTCTTCAACGAAGTATGCCATCCCGACGTCCTGAAGCACGCTGGCAGCATGAATAAAAATCTTACAGACAATATAATGTATGCCAACCCTGCTGTACTAAATTCTCCACTGGCGAGAGCTCCAAAACCTCAATCGCCAGCGGGCGTCCAACACTAATTTGCTCCATCTGGACTACAATTTCCGCCAACCGGTGTGGATTGGCTGAGAAGTGATGTACTACTGTTACAGCAAGCACCCAATAAACGGGTCTTTCGGCTCTATGTTTGTACATCAGCCGGTGGGTACTACATAGTATATTATTAGAATAACAGTGTAAACATTATAATATGTTACTACCAAGTAATCGTTGGGCTGTGTGCACCTTATCCTACATGTACTGCTCTTGAACTTTATACCAGGAAGGTTTTTTAATGGGTCGATCGACCAAGAGGCTCTAGTATGGTCATTGGTTGAGGTCGAAGTCCAAGACGACGTCAGCGATAAAGCATCGTGCGTAGCGTAAACGTTAATGTTTCGATGTTCGCATCCTGGCTCATTATTATTCGGTCAGTAATCCGAACGAGCTGTTAACAAAGGTTTCTACGATGTCAAGAATGTGGTTCAAGGCCCCACTCATGTCTCGGCAAGGTAGCGATGGCATGCAGTGCAGTGAGTATGCATATTAATGTCCAGGAGCATTTTATAGTACTACGACAGCAATGACTAGAAATAGCCAACCAAACACTGAACAAGAGGTCATTGAACAAGATTCGTAGGGTAAATAATGCATCCCCTGCACACGCACGCACTTGCCACCGTGTGACTTGCCACTAACGTTGGCATTGCGTGCCCTCCACGGCCTTTACTTATCTGCTGCGTTGACGAGACTTGGTGTAGCTTTACAGCTCCTCTACGATATATTTTGGAACTATACCGTTGTTATAACACTCTTGCGGGTCGTTGTTACAAAATGCAAGTGTTCATGTGTAGACAAAATGTATGGATACGAATTGCTTCCCCTGTTCAACTAGCGCACCCAGTAACGTTAGTGGCGACCAGTCATGATCGGTGAATGGCGTAAACGGGGCCTTACCATCCATCCCCCTGGACTCCTTAGCACTGGCTTAGTATTATAATTTCACGTAGATCCTTGAAGGATATTTCATTTCAACACTACACATGGGACCAGCCAACTTTCTGGCCACATCCTTCCAGTGGTAGAGAAATTGCCGTTGCACGAAATATCCCGACTTATGTTGAAACTCAACATCAGACTCGCACGAACCAAGAATTAGATCGGCCAATTCCCCAATTGACATTTTTCATTTGTTCCTCCATGAAGTCCACCAGTGCTTTTGTTCTCGCTGCCACTTGCCTCGTCGGCGCCACTGCCGGTGGCCCCCAACACCCTCCACAAGAGGCCAACTTGAGTGACACCCCCCACTCCCCCCTAGACCATCCTCGTCATGACCACCCAATTCGTCACAACGACACCCTCGAGCACGATCACAACCACACGGAACACGATGGCCATTCCGCTTTTGATGGCCCATTCGGTCATCATAACGGTACCCACCCCCACAACGCCACCGAACCGCATGGCAACCACACGGCCCACCCCCACAACGCCACCGAACCGCATGGCAACCACACGGCCCACCCCCACAACGCCACCGAACCGCATGGCAACCACACGGACCATCCGCACGGCGGGCCTCACCATCATAACACCTCGACTACGAAAGCCCCCACTACTACCGCCTCCACGGGTGCGACACCAATCAGTGTGCAAACGGGGACGACTTCAGGCGCTGCAAGTGCGATGGTATCGTTGGTCGCCTTTGCGCTTGTTGGACTTTGCACGTTGCTGGCCTAAGTTGCGAGTGATACCTTCAATACATTCATTTTGCATAACATTGTTACGAAATTCGCTAACGATTGGTGGGTCGGAAGTACTCATAGGATTTAGCATTCAGTAGTCGACTGCAAAATGTCTCATGTAGTGGTGGATTTCAGATGTTTCCGCTTTGTTGCTACCTTTTGCACTAAGGGGGATACAGTACTCACACCTTTCTGGCAATGTATTAATAATTACTTGTATTCACACGGCATCGCCGCAAACAACTTCTGGCTATATGGTATGCGAACTACTGTATCTGGACTTGGTCATAATTCTGGCTGAGGGCCTGTTCCAAGTAGATATTTTTAGCAAAATGAAAAAGTGGTTCCAAGTACATTTTCCTACTTTTTGTGCGATTTTTTACGCAACTCACTATACCAAAGTAGAAAAAGAGGTAAATCGATTTTGATTGGCTCATGCTATTTCTGAAAACTACTTGGAACTTCCCCTTACCAAGCGAACTACCGGTATCTGGACTTGATCATACAGTAATTCTGGCTTAGCACACGATCAAGTGTGCTAAGCCGATCAAGTGTGCTAAGCCAGAATTACTGTATGATCAAGTCCAGATACCGGTAGTTCGCTTGGTAAGGGGAAGTTCCAAGTAGTTTAACTTACGTCGACGTGTTCCGGATTACAAATCGTCTTCGTTTGTCGAGGAAGGAGAAGTTAGTTTCTTGTGTTTCCATCGTGCCCAAGATGGACAAGTCACACGCTGGTAAGACACTGGATGTGCTAACGTTAGTGTTTGTGGGAACCTTACTCTTGATATTCCAAATCGAATGTGTTCAGTCCATATATAGATAGCACTTGACTGTGAATTGAAATGTACACCAAATATATTGAACCTTCGAGCATTATTTCGCCCTCCATATCCACGGTTACAACACATACCCGGGGTACTTGTATGTGTTTTGCGCCCTGCGTCGGAATGACCTTGCATTCCACCCGCAAAATCTCTCGTAATCATCCTACCCACTTCCAAAATCAAAACTTGCTCCATGAAATTCACCACTTTTGTTGTCGTTGCCAGTACTGTACCATCGTCAGCCTCAAAGCCGACATTTCCCCGTCCCCCTTTCATTCACAAGACACCAACTTCAAACCCTATTCTCCCTTTGACCTTCCACATGACTGCCCCCTTCCTCGAAACGACGCAAATTCTGCTTCCGACCCCCCTTCTGACAACCAGCTCGATCGTCCTTGCCACGGCGGGTTTCGTATCAACCTTGCTATTAATAGTGTAAATAACGCGTAACGTTACATTGAAATATACTTCAGGCTCCCACTTTATGGTATTGTTGCTAGATGCAAATGCTACTGCTTAGCTTTGTTCTCGTCGTGTACCCTGTGAGAAGGTTTACCCAATGGAGTGGAAAAGCTTAGCAAATGACTACACCTTGTGTGAACTGAGAATTGCCTATCGATTTACTTCTAGTCAATCGTTTGGAGGAATCTCGTAAAGTAAGCTTATATGATTAATTTTAGGTAAGTTAACTTCCATCAGTATACGGTTGAGGCTGTTGTTCATTAATCGAGATTAATGACCAGAAACCGTTGTTATACTGTATTACTTCGATGTATTGATTTGGTACGAATTTCCGGACCCTGTCACCAAAACCCATCACAAATCGCTCCCATTGGTCAGTCTAAAACTCCTTGTCACTGATTGGCTACACTATTTTTCATTTTACTTCGTGGTTACTGCTGCGGAATTGGGAAAGCCAACGAAATTTTCGCGGTGAGATTTGTGATCGGTTTTACGAGTCGCGCAGAATTGGGAGATTTTTAGCAAATTCAAAATTATTTTCTGGCTCCAAGCTGAACCCTACTGTATTATTGATCAGGTAGCACGAACTACTATAGTGTAGTACGAGGATTGGACTCACAAAATGCAAATTTGAGGGTGAGTCCATGCCTGTTATTGGTGGAGATTGCACGGCTACGTCGTGCTATGAATAGCTAAATTGACGGTTATATTAATACATACAGTAACGTTATGTCAAGGCATCACCAATGTCAAGTAATAATTTATTCAACTAACATGGCTAATCGTGTCCACTTGGGAAATAGTAACGTTAACTTGCAGCGCTGTCGGGCCAGTACGACAGCTGCATCATACTACTGGAAAGCTTAAATCTTACTAGGTACTACTTAGCATATCCGTACTGTAGTCAAGTTTATAATAGTACTGAAGTATAACTAGAGTATTTATGCATGTGATGTAGTTCCACCACTTTCGTCGTCACGAGTCCGACAAACACTTACTGTTACTGTTAGAGCATGTGGCAGTCCTTCCAACAGTATTGGCTAGAAAATCATTGTCACTTGTAAATGAGGGATAGAATCAGCTGAACCCCCTGAAATTCTCACGGATGAGATATGGCCAACCTGCCGTGGCACTCGATTGGTTCAAAGATCCACTTGCGTGTCCACATCGTGGCCACCGTGTGCCACGTCGGTTGGGTGACCAGAACTACTCAAATAGTTTCGCCCAATCACAGCGCTCTTATAGCGTTTGTAGTTCATTGACACCACAATCTGCCATAACCAAATTTGCTCGCTATGAAAATAACTGCTTTCGTTCTCGCTGCCACTTGCATCGTCGGCATCACCGCCGTCGCCCCTCCCCTTCCTCCTCAAGACATCCACAACCACACCCGATTCAACGACACGAACTCCCCCCCCGGTCCTTCCCCCCGTCGTCACAATGACACGCTTCGTGACGGCAACCACACGAAACCGACGGGCAACTCCACGTTCATCCATCACCCCCACGGTGAAATCCCCCACCGCCCCCGAAACGGCGCCAAGAACGGCACCGGACCACTCGGCAACCATTCGAACGACGTGCTCCCCCCTCGTCCCCAACACGGCGATAAGCCCCCCCAAGACAAACTGCCCAACGGCACACGCGCCCCCCTCTCTACCCCTGCCACCACCATCACCACCACATCCTTAGATGCGTCGGTGACTGGGGTGCAGACGGGCACCTCGGGCGGGGTCGGAAGCGTGACCATGTCGTTGGTCGCACTCGTGATCGTGGGAGTTAGCGCTTTCCTGGCCTAACATTTGAATGTATACAATATTCGACAGCTTTTGTTGTTGAGGACAGAGTGAAGAAAGATTTGGTAGTACGGTTGGTGGAGTAACGATTGAAATATCATGGCGAAGTAGCGGCAAACCGTGAATAGTAATATTGCAGTCACCAAGCAAGCCGAATGAATTCTGACCAAAATAACTTCACATTGTTGACGTGTCCTGAGCTTTTGACAGCCATTGTCTAGCCGAGGCTGTCTACATAAATTAGCTGACGAACAAGCCTGAAATGGAGGCATTGCAATGGTCGGCTTTGTGTTCAGTTTGACATCATGGAAACGTCACACTAGAGTGTACTGCACTGTACTTGTTCCATTCCTAGTACTGTATGTCAAGTCGATGCGAAATTGGAGCGGTGCTCAACACCAAATCGGCAGACAATCGATCAACCAATCAAAACCCTGATCACGAATCAAGTAGCCAATCAAATCCACTCTTCGACCAATTCAACATCGAATTAGTGTGTGGAAGAAATTAGTGTGAGTCTGGAGGATTTTCCGTACAAAAGTCAGCACAAAGAATCGATTGATAGATTTGGCGAATCAGCACAAAAGTCCAAATTTTGGGTAAAAGGACAATACTTAGTACTATTAATACTAGTCGTACTCATGCCGCCTACGCGCCAAGCGATTCCAAGACTTCGTCCGTCGACACGACCATGGCACACTCGTCGTGCATGGCGCTGAGCGCCACCGCGTGCATGGTTTCCGCATCAAACTGACTTGCGACTTTGGAGCCAGGGGCCGCCGCCCGGTTGAACGTGGCGCAAGCGTCGTTTGGCAGGTACACCTGAAAACCCAAGTTGCTAGCATGGCGGACGGTGGAGCTGACGCAATGGACGGTGGACATGCCCACAACTACGAGCACTTCCCACTTCTTCGATCGAAGGAGCGCCTCCAAGCTCGTGCCAACAAAGCCGGAACCGCCGTGCTTGATCACGACGGACTCATGGGGCAGGGGAGTTACATACGTCTGCGGAAGGACAGTGCTGGGATTGGAGTCCGGACTGAACAATGTCCCAGGCGTCGGCTCGTGGTGGTGGATGTGGACGACGGGAAGCGAAGCGAGACGAAACGCAGAGAGCAAGCGAGTGACGTTGGCTTCGAGTTGGGGGGTAGAACGCTCGCGTGTTGTGTATGGAGGCTGGAGGAACGCCTGTTGCAGGTCAACTACCACGAGCACGACGCCGTCGTTCGGAAACACAAGCGGTGTCGTCATGCTATAAGTTGTGCAATGATATGGAAATTGGCGATGTGTCGACGATTTTCAAAAGTAATTTAATGTTGATTTTACTATTTTATATGCATAATGCATTACTTTAATTGACGGTATAATTGTGCAAAGTCTAAAATTGCATATATAATTGAATATATCTGGGTTACATACTTCACGTGGTGAACTGCATGAGCTCCAATTTTGATCTTCACGTTTCGGCAGCACTTCCAAAGTCTCCACATGACGCGATCGATACCAGGTAGCGACTCTAACGTTAATTAACGTTAGTACTTATGAATTACACTATTCATTGGAGATTGGCATCGATTCGTTTTTGTTGCGCACTTTTTGAATTTCGCTGGATTTCATGAGCTTGACAAGCAGCCAAGATTAGAAATTAATCCCACAGGCTTTCCCGAAAATATAATTGAATTCCGGATATATTCGGATAAATGTAATGATCCTACCAAACAAAAGGTTATAGAATGTCATTACATTCCGATGTGAACATTGAACTTTCGACACTGGATTGTGCGACCACAATATTATTGCGCACGCAGGTGGTCCGTCCTACTAGTACTTCACTTGCGAACCTTCCGTCCCACCCCAGCACCGCACATCATCATGCCTATCGACCTCCCTAAAGCCAACACTGCGTTGATCGTGATCGACGTCCAAGAAGGGTTCCGCCAGCCTCCCTACTCGGACCTGGAACGGTCGACGCCTGAGTTCGAATCGAACGTCGAGAGCTTGATCGCCGCCTTCCGCGACAACGGGCTGCCCATCGTGCACATCCACCACCACTCGACGTCACCTGATTCCCCGTTCCATCCCACGAACAACCCGACCGGCGTCCAGCCGCAGTCGTTCGCTGAACCCGTTGACGGAGAACACGTGTTGATCAAGCACGTGAACTCGTCCTTCATCGGCACAACGT